AGATGGTTTGTCAAATGTATCTTTCTGGGTGTCCACACCTCTTGGCAATGTAATTTGCAGCTCCTCCCATCCACAAATGAAGTCTCTTTCCCCACCATTTCAATCTGGGCTGGCATTGGGACTTGATTTGATCAATAGAATGTGGAAGAAGTGACTGTGTGCCAGTTCCAAGCCTAGGTTTCAAGAGGCCTTTTAAATGTCTGTTGCAACCTTACCCAGCCATGAACGTGTTGAGTGAGCATGCTGGGAATGAGAGACCACATGAAGCAGAAACATGCTTTCCTAGCTGAAGTCATACTAAACCAACCAACATGGCAGCTAACACATGAATGAGGACAATCAAGACCAGAAGAACCACTCAAGCAGAGCCCAGTCCAAATTGCCCATTCACACAATCAGGAGCTAAATAAATTACTGTTGTCTTAACACTAAGTTTTGGGGTGGTTTGTTACACAACAGAAGTAACTGGGCAAACAGTGTTCAATTCTTCCTCTTGCCCAAGGAATCAAGTACAAACTTCCTATTCAGATATCCATAGCCTTATGGATATATCCCATACCATACTTTCCAACTCGACTTTCCAATCAGATCCCAGAGTTCTCCTACCAGAGACTGCAAAGTCTAATACTTTTAGGGCCTAGGAAGGAACCTAAATGAATGCTTTGTGCCTGGAGGGGGCTTTAGTGAACAGATGAGCAAGAACAGCATCTGCTCAACTCCAATCTAAACTTTGTCACATAGAATGGGATTCCAACATTTCCAGAGCTTTCCATTTTGTCAAAAGAGCTAGAAAGTTGGATTTTTCTGTGATGTCCTTATTTTTAAAGGTTAGTATCTCATTAAACATTATTTTAGGCTGGGCACGATGGCTCACGCCTGAAATCCCAGCACTTTGGGAGGCCAAAGCAGGAGGATCACCTGAGGTCAGGAGTTCAAGACCAGCCTTGCCAACATGGTGAAGCCCTGTTTCTACTAAAAATACAAAAATTAGCTGGGTGTGGTGGCCACATGCCTGTAATCCCAGTTACTCAGGAGGCTAAGGCATGAGAATCATTTAAACCTGTGAGGTGGAGGTTGCAGTGAGGCATGATTGCACCACTGCACTCCAGCCTGAGCGACAGAGTGAGATCCCGTCTCAAAAAAAAAAAAAAAAAAAAAAAAATTATTTTAATGCTGATAGGACAAACAAAATATGTGCATATAGGAGCTGTCAGATTTTAATCCCTGCCAGACTGAAACCTATGTTTGTGGTACTTTCATTCTAGATTTTTTTTTTTTTTTTGAGACAGAGTTTCACTCTTGTTGCCCAGACTGGAATGCAATGGTGCGATCTTGGCTCACTGCAACCTCTTCTTCCCAGGTTTAAGTGATTCTCCTGCCTCAGCCTCCCAAGTGTCTGGGATTACAGGTGTGCATCACCACACCCGGCTAATTTTTGTATTTTTAGTAGAGACGGGGTTTCACCATGTTGGTCAGGCTGGTCTCGAGCTCCTGACCTCAAGTTATCTGCCTGCCTCAGCCTCCCAAAGTGCTAGGATTACAGACATGAGCCACCATGCCTGGTCTCATTCTAGATTTCTTATACTTTTGTTCATGGTGTGTGCTTTGCCTAGGATACACTAACCCCTGCCTCTAAAGTTACATTTTTTTCAGAACTCATTCTAAATCATTCAACAGCAAATGTGCTAGCCATTGTTTCAGTCACTGAGAAGACAGCAATAAAAATACATTTGGATCTTGTATTCTAGTAATCATCTCTGATGAATAAAATCATGGCTGATTTTTATTATTATTATTATGAGACAGGGTTTCACTGTGTTGACTAGGCTAGTCTTGAACTTCTGGGCTCAAGTGATCCTCCCATCTTGGCCTCCCAAAGTGCTGGGATTACAGGCATGACCCACCACACTTGGCCTTATTTTTTTTTTTATCTTTTACTTATCCTTGATTTTTTTTTAAACCTAGAACATGTCTTTTTTCTGTAAATAAAAAATGCAGAAGAATATAAACAATATGATTCTTTTGTAGAACTTATTGGTAGGTATTACTATTTTCTTTCCTTTCTTTTTTCTCTTTTTTTTTTTTTTTTGAGGCAGAGTCTGCTGTGTTGCCCAGGCTGGTCTGGAACTCCTGACCTCAAGGGATCCTCCCATTTAGTCCTCCCAAAGTGCTGGGATTACAGGCGTGAGCCACCATGCCCAGCCATGTTTTCATCTTTAAAATCATTTGTTCTATTTACTGTAGAAGTTACAGTGAAAATTCTCCTTGGTAGATGAATTATTCATACTCTGGCAGATCCACAATTATTATAGGTGAATTTACTGTAAAACTGAGAAAACTGAATTTTCAGGGCCTTTTATTTGCACAGGATGCCTTCCAAGGCCCTGTACCTGATTTTTCCCAACACTTATGTATGAAAATTTCCAGATACACAGAAAAGTTAGTACAATTGTACTCTGAATAACCATATACCTACCACCTAAACTCTACAATAATTTATTATATTTGTTTTATCACATACCTGTTTATCTACTTGTGCCTCTTTCTATCCATTAATCCATCCTAATTTTGTATGCACTTCATTCCTAAACACTTCAGCATTTATGCCATTAGCTGAAGTTTACCTCTGTATGGGCTTTTTTTTGGCGGGGGGGTGTGGAAAGGTAAGTTTTTGCTGTGAAAAATTTGTGTGAAAGGCACAAATCTTAAAGATAGCATTTAGATGAGTTTTGCCAAATGCATACATATGAGTAATCCAAGCCCTATCAAGATAATGAACATTATGGCTGGGTGGGGTGGCTCATGCCTGTAATCCCAGCACTTAGTGGGGCTGAGGCAGGTGGATCACCTAAGGTCAGGAGTTCAACCAGCCTGGCCAACATAGTGAAACCCCATCTCTACTAAAAATACAAAAATTACCTGGCCATGGTGGCACATGCCTGTAGTCCCAGCTACTCAGCAGGCTGAGGCAGGAGAATCACTTGATCCTGGGAGGCGGAGGTTGCAGTGAGCTGAGATCATGCCATTGCACTCCAGCCTGGGTGACAAGAGTGACACCCTATCTAAAAAAAAAAGTTCCAGAGCTAAAAGATTATTCATATGGCACAAAGTGATCTCCTACTAGTCCAAAGTTCAAAAACATTTTAATGAAGTCCATTTATATATATTTTGTTTGCTTTCCAATGGAATACTATGTTTATTGAGGCAAAATCACATTATTTTTAGTTCTTGGAGTCAACAAGCATACACAAATGTTCTTCAACACAGTTATTAAAAATACAAGATCAAGTTGAATGTGCCAAAGAGATACCACTCAGTTGGGTTTTCTAGAGCCATCAGGAAGAAAATTAGAGAAGGGATTTATGTGGTTGGTTTCCATAGCTTGATAGACCAAACACAAAAAAAACTGCCACAACAACAAACAGCAGAATTTTTATCCATACAGGAATAGAGTGTCCCTTTTTTCGTATTTTCTCACTTGACATCTGTCGAGGGAACATACTTACAAACATATTTAGATGAAAATGACTCCTCCATCCTCAAATCACTGAGTTCTAAAGGCCGGCCTGGAGCTCCTTTGATTGGTCTGCGGCAACTAGCACTAATTCTTGTTGGTGTAGCTGCTTCACAGGGGAACGTTTCCTTAGGAATATCCCTTTCTACCCTTCTTTCCTGTGTTTTTTCTCCCACTTCAGCTCTTGTCAATGGTGTATTTGGTGTTCTTCTGGGTATGTCTGAGAATTCAGTGACTGACAGAATAGGAGATGCATGCTTGAAATTTCCATTCACCCTATTGACAATTAAGGATTCATTGTTTGAAGCCATTATAGTTTCAGCTATGGGAGTACTCGCTGAAATTACTGCACCATCTATACGAAAATATTCTGAAGTGTGCACTCTTTTCCTTGGAGTTCTTCTTGACTCTCTTGTAGATTCCCTAGTTTATAATGCCTGCAGAGGTCTGCCTTTTGGAGATCCACTTGTTCATTCAGTCCCAGTTATTCCAGCTTGAGAATAGCTCTTGTTGTGCTCAACTCTTCTTTGTTTGAGGGTTACTGGAGTCTTTGCTCTGCCCTTCAGCGGTTCTCTCTTCTCAAGCTTGAGCTCTATTTTAGGGTCTTCTTCATTGTCACTATATCTGTCAGAATCATTACTTCCATTCTGCCTTGTATTTTCTGCTGAAGAAGAAATTGTTGGCAGAGGAGAAGATCTTGATTCTGTTCTTTGCTCCCTCGCTTTCAAAAGGTTTTTCTCACATAGCTTCCTGGTTGTTCCCACAATAGGACCAGGATTCACTCCGTATTTCACAAGCTGATCCAAAAGATCTTCATTAATGAGTTCTGTTACATCTAGATTGTCTTTATCATTTGTCTGGGTTTATCAGTTTTCTTTGTGGCTTTCCTGTCGGCGGCGGGCCCGGAGTCGAGACGCCTGTGGGCTCGCGCTCTCGTAGCTGGAGAATTCCTGGGGCCCGTTGCTGTTGGCGCTGGCGGCGAGCGGCGGCCCTGCCAAGTGACTTGAGACTGTTTAGTAGCTCAGATCCATTACAGCTGTTTGAGATTGAAGAGACTGTGTAGGCAAAGTCTTTTAAGTGAGCTCTTCAACCCCATGAGAGGATACACATGAACTGGACTGTCCTACCCTTTTTACAGGCTCCGAAATTCAAAATATTGAAATATTTAGAAATTATTCGATTAACTACTATCCTTTGGATACAGATAACTCCTTCACTAAAGCGTTAGGGACAAGCAGCAGGAGTCACAGTTTTAATATTTTCATCTCCATTCCAAAATGGATCGATAAATCATACAACTTTCTCCCGCCCGAAAGTTCAAATAAAACGCGCTGGGAAAAAAAAAAAAAAAAAACTTTTATTTTTCCGGGGCGGGCACAAGGTGACGGACGTAGATTGCTGCCAATTGTAGGAGGCTTCCTCGAGAGCGGTCCCGCCTCGTCAGTTTATGAACAACTAGCCAATGAGAGCGCCGCTGCTTCAGCTAGCGGGGACCCATTGAAGAAGAAGACTGAGTATTGGCCACAGCCTAGGGCTTCTGTCCAATAGGAGCTTACCTGCTGGCGGCTCTGGCGGGAGCTTGAGCGGCTCCGGAAGTGGCCGTTGGCGTAGGTGCATTCGGAGTTCTGCTGAGGTAACTAGAGAGTCTTCGGCGGGCTCGCGAGCCAGGCCGCGGCCTACTGGTTTCAGGTGAGGAGGGGTCTTGCTTCTCCCCAGGCCTTGGGCCTCTAACTCCGGGATAAACTTCCCCACGCCTGATTGCTGGATTGGGGTCCAGGAGACACCCCACGAGGTGGGCTGCACGCGGGCTTGGAACCTGGCAGCCTGACAGGATTCGGGCCCTCGGGGCGGCGCCAATGGTCTGGGCTGAGGAGCCCGAACCCTAGCACTTATCTGGGTTGCTGGGCGTTGGGGGCTGGGCAGGCGGGAGCTCGGGGCGATGACGGAAGGAGCCGAGTTCGCTGCTGCGGGGCCTGCCCTGGCCAGGGTGGGAGGTCGCCCGGCCCTTCCCCCGAGAGCCTAGCCTCGGGCTCCTCAGCGGCGATGCCTGCGCCCGCTCTGAGCTCCGTTACTTCATCACTTTAAAGTTGACGGACGAACTTCATTTTTAATTTCATCATGGAAAGTGTGGCGTAAAGACTTGTATTATCCCTATTTTACAGGCGAACAAGTTGAGCCGAGGTTTCCCCATGTAGTAAAAGAACAGGGATTTAATATTTCCTTCTCCCCGTCTCCCTCCCCCTCCCCGTCTCCCTCCCCCTCCCCCTCCCCTTCCCTTCCCCTCCCCCTCCCCTCCCCTTCCCCTTCTCCGTCTCCCCCTCTCCCCCTCTCCCCCTCTCCCCCTCTCTCCCTCCCTCCCTCCCTTCCTTTTTCATGGTAAGGAGACGAAAGCGCAGTGGCTCTAGTCTGTAATCCCAGCACTTTGGCCGAGGCAGGCAGATCACCTGAGTCAGGAGTTCGAGACCAGCCTGACCAACATGGAGAAACCCCGTCTCTACTAATAATACAAAATTAGCCAGGCGTGGTGGCACACGCCTGTAATCCCAGCTACTCGGGAAGCTGAGGCAGGTGAATCGCTTGAACCCGGAGGCAGAGTTTGCGGTGAGCCGAGATCACGGCATTGCACTCCAGCTTGGGCAACAAGAGTGAAACTCCGTCTAAAAAAAAAAAAAAAACCTAAGAAGCGAAATGAAGTCTCCCTGTTGCACCCAGGCTGGAAGAGCTCACTGCAGTCTTGAACTCCCGGGCCCCAGGGATCCTCCCGCCTCTGCTTCCCACAATAGCTGGGACCACAGCTGCTCACCACCACGCCCGGCTCATTGTTTTCTTTTTTTCTTTTTCTTTTCTTTTTTTTTTTTTTTTTTGAGACGGAGTCTCATTCTGTCGCCCATGCTGGAGTGCAATGGCCCGGTCTCAGCTCACTGTAACCTCTGCCTCCCGGGTTCAAGCCATTCTCCTGCCTCAACCTCCCAAGTAGCTGGGGTTACAGGAATGCGCCACCACATCTGGGTGATTTTTGCATTTTTAGTGGAGACGAGGTTTCACCATATTGGCCAGGCCGGTCTGGGACTCCGACCTCAAGTGGTCCGCCCTCGGCCTCCCAAAGTGCTGGGATTACAGGTGTGAGCCACGGCACCTGACCTGTTCTATTTTTCTTTTTCGGTAGAAATGGGAATTTCACTGTGTTGCCCAAGCTGGTCTCGAACACCGGAGCGTAAGCAATCCATCCGCCTGGGCATCCCAATATCCAGGGATCACAGGCGTGACCCTCCGCGCTGGCCAGAGCAAAGATTTGAACCGAGGTTGGCCCGACTTCCCCCGCCCACCTCCTTTCAACCTTTAATTGAGGGGCTTTCATCCTGCCTGTTGTGGGCATTGATTGAAACCTGAATAATAAAGATGACAAGTCTGAGGTTAACGTTTTAAACCCCGACACTCACAGCACACATAAAAAGCAGCATTTGTGTGACATGCTCAAGGTTTGGGGTGCACAGCCCATGGTCTCGCTCTAGGCACCTCCGACTGGCCTACAGTGGTTAAGAAGCTTCGGCTCCAGAACTGCACCGTTCCATAGAACTTCGTGCGACAAGGAAAACGTTCTGTATTTCTGCTGTCCAGAATGGGAGCCACCCGCCCTATGTGGGTTTCTAGCACTTGAAATGTGTCCTGCATGACAAAGGAACTTCTTTCTTTCTTTCTTTCTTTTGAAACAGAGTTTTACTCTGTCTCCCGGGCTGGAGTGCAGTGGTGTAATCTCGGCTCACTGTAACCTCCACCCTCCAGGTTCAAGGGATTCTCCTGCCTCAGCATCCCGAGTAGCTGGGACCACAGGTGCACACCATCACGCCCGACTAATTGTATTTTTTGTAGAGACGCGATTTTGCCGTGTTGCCCAGGCTGGTCTCCAACTCCTGGTCTCAAGCTACCTGCCTCAGCCTCCGGAAGTGCTGGGATTATAGGTATGAGCCCCAGCTCCTGGCCGAACTTGATTTTTATTTAATTTAAATAACCATATGGGAGTAGACAGTGCGGCGGCCATTTAGATTCTGCTCTTTTTAGTCTGTTTCTACCCTTTGTCTTCCTGAAGGCTGAGTTGCTTAATGTCTCTTAAGTACATCTACGCAAGTAACTGGGGTCTTATGTTGTGACACACACAATTCTTGGGAGACTGTCGTTGTACCCTAGAAACATATTAAAAGCTTTTAGTTAGCCAGCTGCAGTGGCTCACTCCTGTAATCCCAGTACTTTGGGAGGCTGAGGCAGGAGGGTTGCTTGAGCTGAGGAGTTCAAGACCAGGCTGGGCAACGTGGGAAACCCCATCTATACAAAAAATGTTTAAAACTTAAAGTATCTCACATCGTTTAGTTTGCAGACTTTCTTTCCCATTTATTTTCACTACTGCGCCACTCTCCATCCTGTGGAGGCCGCGCCAGGCCTGCTCTGGTGATTTTAAGAAACTTGACTGTTGGCCGGGCGCAGTGGCTTACACCTATAATCCCAGCACTTTGGGACGCCGAGGCAGGCAGATCATTAGGTAAGGGGATCGAGACCATCCTGCTTATACGGTGAAACCCTGTCTCTAACACAGAAGAAACTCCTTACCAAGGCCCATGGGCCCTTTAATGATGGTGTCCTGTTCATCAGTCAAACCCATGCTCATCAGGGACCTATGCACTGATTTCCTTCTGAAACTTCCTTGGCTCTTTGCAGAGACAGTTTCTTTTAATCCTTCATGCCTCAGCCCAGTTTTCACTCTTTAAAAGACTACTTCCGTCAGAGTTGTGTCTTAGTTGGTCCTCCTTGTCTCCTCAACCCCGAACATCATAATCTATAATTTCTCATGTATTCGTTTATTGACATGTTACTTGCTAGAATGTTAACTCTGATACATGGTGTCTTACCTGTTTTTGCCTCTAGGGTGTCTGTCTGCATAACAGGTGCTTAATAAATACTAATTGAACCCACATTTCCTCATAAGTCAGATGAAAAAAGCACGTGCCTTACTTCACAAAGAAATTGAGGGGATAAGTTATACTGATATACTTTAAAAACTAGGTGGTAGAGAGGCACAGTGGCTCAGTCCTGTTGTCCTGGTGCATGAGGAGGTGAGGCCAGGCGTTCAAGACCAGTTTGGGCAACATAGAAAGCCTTCATCTATATAACAAAAAAAAAAAATTTTTTTTTAAATTTAAAAGCTAGGTGGTAGTTTTCAAAATGATGTAATGGAATTAAAGATAGGAAACATGAAAAGAACATAGGTGCTTAATATTTGTTGAATAGGCGAACATGATGGAATTAGAGATGGAAAACAAAAATAATGAAAGGGATAGGAAAAAGTTTGCTTAGCCTTTTTGGAAAAATCAGGTAAATTTCCATTTTGAGTTAGTAACTTAGTTAATTTTGCAAGTGTAAAAAATGTCCTTTCTCTGTTTATTCTTTATAGATCTTTCTATTTTGGAAGATACTACTGTGATCACAGGACATTTTCTAAGGGCAAACTGGAAAACTGGTTATAAATGCTTGTTATAGAGAAGAAAGTCCATTACCAAACACTTCTGACTTAAAATTTAAATAGTTAAAATCTTCTCTTGAAGCTTCTCAGTCTTGCTAAGAATGATATTAAGCATAAAAACAGAAAGATTAAATATGATTCTGTCACCTACATAGCATGTTTTATCTATTTTATTAATACTTTTTGCAAATAATTGTTTCCCTAGTGATGGCTCATGAAGCAATGGAATATGATCTTCAGGTACAGTTAAATCATGCTGAAGAACAGCCAGCTTCTGCTGATGTGGCCAGCAGCCAAGGGGGACCAGCCCTCCTCCAGCCTGTTCCTGCTGATGTGGTCAGCAGCCAGGGGGGACCACTGATCTTCCAGCCAGCTCCTGCTGAAGTGATTGGCAGCCAAGTGACACCACCCCTACTCCAGCCTACTCCACAACTGTCTATTGACCTGACAGAAGTGGAGGTCTTGGGAGAAGACAATGTGGAGAACATCAATCCAAGAACTTCAGAACAACATAGACAGGCATCTGATGCTAATCACACCATGCGAGCATCTTCATTGCATTCAATGACCAACTTCATCAGTGGACTGCAGAGACTTCATGGCATGCTGGAATTCCTGAGACCTTCATCTTCAAACCACAGTGTAGGGCCAATGAGAACAAGAAGGAGGGTATCTGCTTCACGGAGGGCAAGAGCCGGAGGGTCTCAGAGGACAGACAGTGCCAGGTAAATCAATATATGGATAAGTCTGTGATCATTGCTGTACTAGGAATTATGAAACTGAGGCTCTGCCATTCAAGGACTGACAGTGTGACTTTTGGCAAGTCAGATAACTTCTGACCCCCAGTTCCTCATAAGTCAGATGGAAATAAAATTGCTTGCCTTACTTCACAAAGTAATGAGGGGATAAGTTAAATGATTGTGCCTTGAAAACTAGGTGGTAGTTTGTTGGCAATCTACATTTGTAGAGATTGGCTATTCTTCAGATTGTGTCTTGTACACCGAAAATTCTTTCTTCACTTGCAGATCTCCTCTACTCACCCAAATTCATTATTCGCTGGCATTCCACCGAGAGGCACAATTAATTAATTTTCTTTCATAGTCTTGGTTTGAACTTGCCTCTTGAAGGGCTTAGCCGTCAAGTCTTAGTAGGGTTGTTATGAAGAATAACAATTGCCTGTACCCTGTCTGTTGTTGTTTTTTGTTTGTTTGTTTGTTTTGAGACGGAGTCTCACTCTGTCGCCCAGGCTGGAGTACAGTGGCGCGATCTTGGTTCACTGCAACCTCCATCTCCCAGAGTCAAGGGATTCTCCTGCCTCAGCCTCCCCAGTAGCTGGCATTACAGGCACATGGCACCACCCTCAACTAATTAAACCTGTCTGTTTTTTTAACTTCTTACTTAAAGTATTTTATTTCACATTTGGTCTTCTAAGTGTTTTCAATATGTTTAGAAATATAATTCAACTTCTAATTTGTATGTGAAGGAAACTTGTACCCTGAGAGAGGGCTTTGTTCAGGGTCTCATAGCTATAGCATAGAGGAGTTAGCATGGGTATTGGAACCTGGATCTGCCCTGTTTTCTACACAGGCAGATGGAGGAAGCTTCGATCAAATCCCTTTGTTTTCTCTTTCTTCTTCTTTTAATTATTATTATTTTTGAGACAGGGTCTCACTGTGCTGCCCAGGCTGGAGTATAGTGGTGCAATCACAGCTCACTGCAGCCTCGACCTCCCCAGGCTCAGGCGATCTTCCTACCTCAGCCTCTTGATTAGCTGGGACTACAGGCATAGGCAACCATGCCGATGTTTTCTAACATTGTGAAAATACTGAGATGGTACTAAAAAGTGGTAGCTAGGTCATCCATTACTCATGTTTTACAAATGAGGAAGCTGATGGGATAATTTGTGATTTGGTTGTGATAAGGCTGGATTGGAATTGTGCCTTCTGAATCTGGATTCAGCATTCTTTTTCATGGATGCTGCTGATTTTAATGTTGGGCTTGCCATGACTGTGGCTCCAGTGTCTGTAGTGCCCATCAAGGATGACAGATGCCTAGTTCTGTGTTGACAAGAGTTGCAAATGCATATTACTGTGGTTTTTTTTTTTGTTTTGTTTTTAAGACAAGAGTCTTGCTCTGTCACTCAGACTGGAGTGCAATGGCTCTACCTCAGCTCACGACGACCTCTGGCTCCTGGGTTCAAGCGATTCTTGTGCCTCAGCCTCCTGAGTAGCTGGGATTATAGGCATGTGCCTGCAGGCCTGGCTATAGTCTGTTTATTTATTTATTCATTTATTTATTTATTTTGAGGCGGAGTCTCACTCTGTTGCCCAGGCTGGAGTGCAATGGCGCGATCTCCGCTCACTGCAAGCTCCGCCTCCCGGGTTCACGCCATTCTCCTGCCTCAGCCTCCCGAATAGCTGGGACTACAGGCGCCCATCACCGCACCCGGCTAATTTTTTTGTATTTTTAGTAGAGACGGGGTTTCACCGTGTTGGCCAGGATGGTCTCCATCTCCTGACCTCGTGATCCGCCCGCCTTGGCCTCCCAAAGTGCAGGGATTACAGGCGTTAGCCACTGCGCCCGGCCTATAGTCTGTTATTTTAAGATGTGATTACTCATGTTATAAAGGCAGGGTAAGATTTCATACATTGGTGTTATAGGTGAAGGCACCTTATGGTGTAATTTGGGGACCGTGCCAAAGTAAATATGAGCCAACTTTCCATGGCTGAGAGTTGTGAGTGGTGTCTTCAGGAACTGACTGACTGTCAGGAGGCCTCTTGCAGTAGTCCTCAGTCTTGTTTATCCATGCACTCATTCTTGTTGGGGGAGGCACAGTGGATTCTGCTTGGTCAGGCACACTGACTTGTATTAACCAACATAAAGGTGGCACTTATAAACCAGATGCCAACTTACAAAGAAAAATAGAATCACTAGAGAGCCACACAGAAGCCAAACTCTAGTGAGAAAATTGTTGGATGTGGCTGGGCATGGTGGCTCACGCCTGTAATTCCAGAACTTTGGGAGGCCAAGGCAGGCAGATCCCTTTAGGCCAAGAGTTCAAGGCCAACATGGCGAAACCCCATCTCTACTAAAAATACAAAAAATTAGCCGGATGTGGTGGCATACACCTGTGATCCCAGCTACTTGGGCGGTTGAGGCATGAGAATTGCTTGAACCTAGGAGGCGGAGGTTGCAGTGAGCCAAAATCTTGTAATCTAGCCTGGGTGACAAGAATGACTCTGTCTTAAAAAAAATTTTTTTTCTTATAGAATCTGCTCAGGGAAAGAGTTATACAGAATTTAGATGTTGAAAGATGTCAGTCAAGCTATTTGGCAGCCATAATCTGTCTCCACAAAGGGAATAACCTAAAAGGTCAGAAAGTGTGCAGTTCAATGGAAATAACATCAGTTCTGGAGCCAGATAAATGTGATTAAAACTTTTTTCCCTAAAGTATGAGCTTTCCCAGGACTAATCCTCTGAAGTTCTTGAGATGAATTTCTCAGTGCGGTGTTTGACATTTACTCATCTGACAGACTGTCCCTGGGCCAGGTGTTGAAAGCCTGGGCCAAGGTGAACAGCTTTTGACTCACAGTCAGCCAAGAAGCCAAAGCTACAGAAAGCTAAGTAGTGAGCTTATTCTTCCCAACAGGCTTAGCTGAGGTCACAAACTCCCTTCTTATTTGTTTGAGGCGGCTTCATTCTGGCTGCAGGGGTCATCACTCATTCATCAAATATTGATAACACTCCTCTGTGTGAGAGACTAAACTTTGCCCTAGATATATTGGTGAATATATTGTATTCACCAATATATCACTTAGATATATTGGTGATATATTGTATTCACCAATATATCACTTAGATATATTGGTGATATATTGTATTCACCAATATATCACTTAGATATATTGGTGATATATTGTATTCACCAATATATCACTTAGATATATTGGTGATATATTGTAATCTGTGGTGAACACAGATTACAATATTGTTTTCATGGAGCATATGGAGTTTAGGACTACAGAGAGTAAGGAAGGAGCAAAATATATTTAATTCAAAGACGGTAAGTGCAGGAAAGGAGGAGGATTTCTTGGGTTCTAAATCTGTGCTCCCAAGGAGAAACCCTAGCACTGCTTCCTGTTGGTTTTCATAGTTCTCCTTTCCTGTGTTCTTGCCTGACTTTGGAAATTCTTTACTACATAAAAGCAGTATTAAAGAGTGATTTTTTTTTTAAGTGTCTTACCACTTTTTTACTGGGTTCTATGTAGAATTCTTTTGTTATACATGTCAACAGCCTAACTCTAGTTTGTATTTGATTAAATCCTCTTATAAAATGCTTTCCTTATGTGTTTAGTCTTATGGTAGCTATAGCTGCTGTTCACTCAGAATCTCAAGAAATGGAGTTGGTAAAGTTGCTTAGCACCATTTAAAAAGAAAACCTGGCTAGGCACAGTGGCTCACACCTGTAATCGCAGCACTTCGGGAGGCTGAGGTGGGTGAATCACCTGAGGTCATGAGTTCGAGACCAGCCTGGCCAACATGGTGAAACCCTGTCTCTACTAAAAATACAAAAATTAGCCGGGTGTGGTGGCGGGTGCCTGTAATCCCAGCTACTCAGGAGACCAAGGGAGGAGGTGGAGGTTGCATTGAGCCGAGATTGCGCCACGACACTCCAGCCTGGGTCACAGAGCGAGACTCCATCTCAAAAAAAAAAGAAGAAGAAAACCTGGGTGATGTCAGCGAAAATGGCAGAGTAAGGACCACAGAAAATTATCTCCATAAAAGTAGTGAAACAACTGGCAGAATTTGTCAGGATCAACTTTTTCATAATTTGGGAAACTGACTGAATGCTTACAGCAATCCAGGGAGGGCTGTTTAAAGAAAAACAGTCAAATCTCAATGAGCTCTATGGCATTCCTTATTCTTGTCCCCTTCTCCAGCTCCTTGGTAGTTGTGAAAATCATCTGCCTGTAATCATAGTAAAAATCAACAGCCTGGCAGGCACCAGAGGGATTGGAGCACCTTCAAAGCCTCATTCCCAGAGAATTATCTTTATGTGACCTGGTTGGTGGTTCTCTGGAAAACCCCATTTGCAAGACTACTCTTGACTCAGAGCAATGCAGAGTGTGAAAAGCCTAAATCATTTTCCCTGGGGCCTGCCTAAGGTAATGGATATTCAGTGGGATAAAGAATAAACTAACCTATAAGAGGGAAAGGAAAATCTAGGAATGAGATCAATTCAGTCGCATCTTCTAAGTCTAGTTCTCTTGCTGTTTCTATCTACAGTTACTTCCTTAACTAAAATATTGAGCCCCTCAAAGTCACCCGTAAGACTTGACATCAACTTCTTCTAAATTTCTGTTAATGTTGATATTTTGGTCTCCTCCCATGAATCATGAATGTTCTTAGGGACATCAAGGATGGTGCATCCCCCAGGCGCAGTAGCTCATGCCTGTAATCCCAGCACTTTGGGAGGCTGAAGTGGGCAGATTGCTTGAGCTCAGGAGCTCAAGACCCACCTGGCCAACATGTTGAAACCTTGTCTCTACAAAAAATACAAAAATGGCCGGGCGCGGTGGCTCAAGCCTGTAATCCCAGCACTTTGGGAGGCCGAGGCGGGTGGATCACGAGGTCAGGAGATCGAGACTATCCTGGCTAACATGGTGAAACCCCGTCTCTACTAAAAATACAAAAAACTAGCTGGGCGTGGTGGCGGGCGCCTGTA